AAATTGAGAGATATTTTTAATTTCTTTTTCTTTTAGTAAAGGATGGAAATGTCTATTCATTGGTTTGTTCTTTTTTTCCTCTTTCGCGCAATTTCGATTCAATATATAACATAGAAAATTCATAGTATATTATGCTAATGATATGAATTACGAATGATTCAATTGTTTTATCGCGCTTTTCCAAAGCCAAATCTTATAATATTTAGTTTTGCATTTTAAAAGACTGAGAGCGATTCATATACAGAGTTTGAAGAGATATCCAATGCACGACAAATTATACTTGCGTTGATTAGTATTCATCAATACCGACCTGTTAATCGCGAATACGTACAACACTTTCACACATTTTTTTCGCAAAGAACGATGTACGAAATGCAATATTTCGCGCCTCCCGTTTCACTCATGCGGCCATCTTTCTTTGCTGTTTAGTATCGCCATCTGCATTCGCGTTAAACGCCAGAATTACGTAGTCATAATACTTTTCGAGTGCCGGTAAAGTCATCATTAAGTGCATGTCGGTAAATTGTTCGAATCACGTCGCGCAAGCATGATTTTTTTATTTGTAACATAACAAAATATGTAATTAAAATTCATGTAAAACACGTATTTTTAATCAAATTACATATACTATCGAGACAGTGAAAAAATAATAAGCACTGTATCTATTTTGAAAATAATATATATAAATAATAAATAATTTTTAAAAATTACTCACCGCATATCTCTATGGCTACTCAGGTTCTCTCACTGCTCTCTGTCCGATATTTTTCCAGATCCTCCTTTAGATTTAGGTTACACACACATTGCATAAAGCTTCGATATTTTGCAATCTTACCTCATCTCAATTTGGAGAAGCTCGTGCATTCCTTTCGATAAATATCCGCACAAAAATATATCGCGCTTCAAATAAATAAAAGTCATTCGATACTGTGCACGATTCTAATCGTACGAAATATATTCGACGATTTTTTTTTGGATCACTGTATTATCGAAACGTGCGATCTGAACGATTCAAAAACGATGAATATACAGAATTTGAAGAGATATCCAATGCACGACAAATTATACTTGCATTGATTAGTATTAATCAACACCGAAATGTTAATCGCGAATACGTGTACAACACTTCCATACATTTTTTTCGTAAAGAACGATATACGAAATGCAATATTTCGCGCCTCGCCTTTCACACAATGCGGCAATCTTTTTTGCTATTTAGTATCGCCATCTGCATTCGCGTTAAACGTTAGAATTACGTAGTCAAGATACCTTTCGACTGCCGGTAAAGTCATCATTTTGTGCATGTAAGTAAATTGTTAGAATCACGTCGCGCAAGCATGATTTTTTTATTTGTAGTATAATAAAATATGTAATTAAAAATTCATATAAGAAACGTATTTTTAATCAAATTACATATACTTATTCCGTTACTCTAATACTTGTACATTAACAGATTTAGGTTACACACATTGCATAAAGCTTCCAGAGAAAAGTATCCAGAAGCACAAATATTTTATAGACGAAAAACATGCGAAGATGAAACAATAGATTAAAGAAGCCTTATAATCATTGTACTTTTATGTATAAACGTTTCACAAAATAAAATCTTTATAAATGAAGTGTTACATTAAAAATATTAGTATAAAATTAAATATCCATGTCAGATTAAAAATTTTTGTCCTTTTTTTTTCTTTAGAAATTTTTTATTTTTTTTTCTAAAGATTCTTTAAGCGATAACTGCTTCTTTCGCAAGACTATTGAACAATTTGAATATTTGATATTTTTCTAGTAGTTTAAATTTCGTGAAAAAATTCGAGAGAAAATTAGATTTTATTATATTACTGCACATATCGATTAAATGCTATATCAAATATGTAGTGTAAATATTTTAATTTTTTTGTATACGATCTACTTTTTATTCTATCTATGTTTTCATAGTGATGTACCTTGAGCATTTTGCTTCATATGTTTGCAATAAAAATATATTAAAGCAAATTATTTTGCAAATTTATTATTCTAATTTTTATTTAGAAAGATTAAGATTAAAAAAGACGTATGAATTTTTTCAGATATTTCTATTGAAAAAAACGCATCAGATAAAACTGACTTTCCTGTACATTTTAAATGTGCCAAAGATTCGCTCTTTATTCCACTTACTGCAATAATGTACACTAAAAATGACAGATCTATATTAAAAATGATAGATCTATATTTAGTAGTTGAAAAGAAAGAGAGAAGAAATGAAAAGTGCATGTAGAGAATTTAAAAGAATAAAAAACAAATCTAAAAATAATACATAAAGATTAATATTATGTATTTTTTTCATGAGGAATGTGGAGCGCACATTTATGCATTTATTTATTTAGATGAGATTTACTTTAGAGCACATTCAGTATTCAACTTTAATTTTATTTTCTCTTTCTTACGATATATAAGTATAACATAATTACCTAGAAATGCTATCATTTTTGTATGCTTACAGTGATACAGAAACAACATTACAAGTACTATATTTACAGATAACATCTGTATAATAAAAAAAGCACTAAAAGTCTAATGGTGAAAAAAGGGTAAATATTGTAGACCAGCATAAATATCAACCAATTATTCCACTGTTCTGTTTCATGAGAGTTGCAATTTTCTTTTATAATATCACGAATATTATAAATAAGATAAAGATTTCAATACGTTTCAAATAAATTTATATATTTTATGTATGTAATACTGCGCACACATATTAAAAGGTGATAATATCGCAGTTATAATAAAATACAATCCTGGCAATGTAGCGATGTTTGGATTCTGAAAATAATTTAATTTGATTTATTTTTAAGAAATGCGCACAATACTTGAGAGCAAATTATTTTTGTGCCACGTATTACCTGTGTAAAATTCCACACACAGTATCATATTGTCTGTGGTATATGAAAAGCTTCATCGATGAAATAATGTGATAATACAATTGAGATATAAGAAAAATAATATAGTACTTGTAATGAATAACGTTAATGTGGAATACATAAATATTTTATATTTTAATTTCATGTAATCGAGATGAGATAAGACACTCATGATTACTTTAAAAATGAGTCCACAAATATCATGTAACTTCAATAGCTGCACATTCGTCAAATTAATCCTGTTATGTTAAATGAATCACAGCAGCTTGTTTTAATTTAATCTAACCTAACCAATTATATTATATGCTCCTCATTAAAATGTGTAAAACTGTACATCGCACATTTAATACGATTAATATACTACGTAATGAAATGTAATACACTAATGAAATAATTAAATATTATTTTTGAAAGCATAATAAAATCCAGGGAGCATACGCTTATGTTTACATTCGATATCCAAAGACACTGAGAGGTTAGGTTAGGTTAGGTTAGGGTAGATCAAACAAATTTATCGTTTAACAGTTGGCAGCCCTACGAGATAGGCTGTGCAGCACTGCGCGCGCGTACAAAATAAATTTGAAATCGCTTCTAGCATAACCATCTTCACGCGATCGACTTTATTTGAATTGCACCGAATCGAATTATGATGCCGATTTGTCCGAATGTAATTCGGGACATCGCGATGCTGTATAAGCGTCGAATGAGCACAAATTATCACGCAAATATGATAAATCAAATCTACTCACCGGCTGTTCCACAGGCCGCTCCTCCTTGGGACAGTTCGCTCGCCTTAGGACGTCCTATTCCGATCTTGATGCACACAAATCTACACGATATCATCAACGCGAACGCGCGACACTTTATTCGGCACTCCCGATATTCGCTCGCATCCGATAATCATCATCAAGGGCGCGAATAACGCGACGCAGCTTCGCTCCATCTTCGCAATGACGCCATTACTGAATATCGTCAAAAATCGCTGTCGCGCGTTTCCATCGACACACTATAAAAGTCGCGCGATCATCCTTCGACACTCTCGACGCTCGTTCACTCGCTATATTCGTTTAAAAACGGTTAAAAGATACGAAAAATGCGGACGTACGACGATCCGTGTAACTGCGTATGACTCCGGTTCACGCGCCAACATGGCGGCCGTATGACGCGTTTGACGTAGCAGTGACGTAGCAATGACGTGCAGTCACGCGCCAACATGGCGGCCGAACCAGTGCGCATTCGTTTCTGCGCGCAACTTTGATTTCTGAATATTGTCTACGGCTTTAATTAATAGTACATAATGATAAATATATAAAGATGGAATCAATTAATCATATTGGTCATATATGTAGACTTGCCCGAAGAAATAGAGAAAAAATTGAGAGATATTTTTAATTTCTTTTTCTTTTAGTAAAAGATGGAAATGTCTATTCATAAGCTTGTTCTTCTTTTCCTCTTTTGTGCAATTTCGATTCAATATATAACGTAGAAAATTCATAGTATTGCATTTATTTTTATATATTCACAACTATAATATTTGCGCGATCATTTTTTGATATTTACAATAGTCGTGTACCTTGTTCTCGATGTTCACTTTTAAAAGAATAAAGAGAATTATATATAAATGTAAATAAATTGTCCGAAGAGAGGAAAAATTGTGGGACATTTTTAGTTTTTTTTAATAAAGATTGGAAAAGTCTATTCATAATAGAAATGCAAAGAAAGAAAATTATTATGTTTAAAATAATAATTTCATATGAAATACAAAATTAAAAGTTACATTATAGAAACCTGACCTTGTAAAAGCGTAATAAAATAATCAAATAGTAGACAGAGAAAAGACTAATCGTAAAAGGTATCGTGATCCACTTTTTTTTTTATATATTAAACAAAAGCAATGATCCACTTTTAAATTCCTGAGAGCAAACCGTCCTCTATGGACAAAAATGTGAACTACGAAACCACGAATGTTCTCAGAGGATAACATATAAGGTGCACAATTTTTGGTTTTCTGTTCCATGCTAGGTGGACGAAATCTGGAGTGGCTTCTGCTAGGATTCGCTTCAATGCGCAAGTGCGAGAACCTTTCATTACTGAGTTATGAATGGCGAAATTTGATCGAACGAAGTCATCCGTTTGCGAGATAAGCCAGAGAATTAACTTGTGATATCTTCTCATTCCAGGAATTTCTTCTTCTTCCATGATTCTATTGGCATCGTCTGAACAATTGTTTGACTTCAAAAACGTTCGTGCAGTAAAATTCAGTGGATAGAATTGGATTCAACAATAGCCTAACAATCCGGATTCGCTTTCAGCTGGTGCTACCACGTGCTTCCTCAGGTTTATGTATATTTGCTGTTCGTTTCTATCGGTGTAATTTAAGTTTGTTTATTTTAACAATGCTATGCCATTCATATAAAAATTCTATACTATATTTTTCTTGACACATTCATTGGTGAAACTTTCGCAGTTGTAAAAAAAAAGCTATAAATTAAAGCTATAAAATCATGAGTTTTATGTTTTTATTAGTTCAACATGAAACTTCAATTTCTTAAATAATTTTCTTAAATAATTTTCAAGATGACATCAAAATTTAAAAAAATTTCTATTGTATATATAATTATGTTGAAAATTTAATGTTATTCTACAAATTAATTAACGATGGAGTTTAATTGGAATTACGTCGATAGAAATGAACATTAGTAAAATTAGCGACATATAAAATCAGCCAATATGAAGAATATGAAAATTCCTATTTTAATAACAATTGTAAGAAATGATAAAAACTATAGCGTGGTACCATTAAAAGTTGAAAAGTCGTTAAAGGAAATTTTTAACTTAATTTTTTAAAAAGTTTACCAATTTTTAAAACTTTACATTTATATTATTTATTCATATATATATATATATATATATATATATATATATATATATATATAATTATTATATTTATTTTTTCTAAATTTATATGACGAAATTATCACATACATTTGTATATGTGTAATATAATTAATCATTGTTTACATATTTTTATTAGGAATTAAAATGAATGCCGATTCTGCTTACATTGGTAATTATTTAGCATTTATTTGCAAAATATAATTCTGTAAAATATGATAATATATAATTGTATGTATTTTAAGAGAGAATATAACATACATATATTATATTACATATCTTATATGAATACCTTGTTTTTTTTGCATGAAATTATAAAGAAATTAAGAGATATTTAAAACATTTTTATATTATAACAATTTATTTATTTCTTTGAAGCATAATTCTACACGAGATATATACATAATTTTATTTATGCATGAGTATTTGTTAAGAGAATATAACATATGTATTATATTATATTTCTTATATGAACTTTTTTTTATATAAAATTATAAAAATAAAAAAAATACTCAAAACATTTTTAAGAAAGTACGAGGAAACAAAAAATAAAATTGGAGGATGTTTTGCATATACTTATAAAATATTGTTTAATACTTATTCTATTTGTTTATTTGAATGTTATTCCAATATCAGAACCATTTCTCTATGACTGGGTGGACCATCTCCAGAAAATTATGAATGAGCGGAAGCAAGAGATCATAAATGAAAAATATTTAATCATGCCGTGTGAAGGTAAGCGATAAGAACAAAATAATATTACATAATAATAAAAATTTTATATTATAATAAAAAATATTATATTTGTGGAATATTGGACTAATAACATTACTGTATATATGCTACAATGTTAATTATTTTAAATTATAGCACTTACAACGCACATTATCAAAGCTTTCACCTACATAGCAAACTACCTAGGACTGGACCATCATGTAAAGTATATGGCTCTTGAATTGTTTGACAAATTTATGAACAAATACTTTTGCGAGATATATAATGAGAAGAACGATCAATCTGATGAGTGGTGGGAAAACTTTAAGAAGAAAACTTGCATTCATAAAAAATTATATTTCATGTCGTGCTTTCAAGTGGCATGCAAAGTAAATTCTCATCCCAATAGTTTAAAAATATCACAGGTACATTAAGACAATATTCTTTGCAAAATGCTAATTAAATTTTGTCAGAGAAAATTATGTTCTATTTCTGCTTTATTAGGTTCTTGAGTTTCTACATATAATTGACAAAAATTATGAATACACTCAAGATGTGGTATCTTCTATAGAAATAGAAATTCTCAAGAAAGTAGGATTTAGAATGCCTTTCTACACACCAGTATACTGCATTGAAATTCTTCTTGCAGCAATAAACTTTTTAAAACTTCCTTTTAATGGAAGTAGAGAACCAATAGAATACAGAGGAACATTATTTACCACTTCAATGCAATTATTAGACTTAGCTTATTTTGAGGTTTGTAAGATTTTTCTATCTAATCCTTCTATTTCTTTATGCAACTTTTAAATATATTTATTCTACTTTTAGCATGAAAAACTGTATCATCATTTTCAATTATATTTGGGATTTTACAAAAATGCTTCAATGTGCAATCAAGAAAAGGAACTGAGACTAAGAGTATTGAAATCAAATACACTCTTTCTAAGTGCAGCAATAGTGTTGTGCGCAAGATATATTTTATACCCAAATATTAGCGACACTACAGATAAAATTATTGTAGTAAACTTAGCAAAATTAGTAAATGCAAGGAACATTGATGTTATCGTTATGGCAAATATATTGTTCCAAATAATACAATAATACAGGGAATATTCCAAAATTTCAAAAAATAATATATAAATATATGAAATTTTTATAAATAGATATGTAAATATATATAATTATGTATTATATCAATATTTTGTAAATATAAATTGATAATATAATAAATTATATTCTATAAAATCTCAGGAAAAAGAAATTAAATATTAATATTTTAGAAAGAAGCAAAAATATTCTTCAAGTACTTGCAACAGAATCATCTGAAAAAACCTAGTACAATTGCAAAATCGATTTTCTATACTTCAAAAAGAACAAAGAACAAAGCAATCTAAAATGTATCTATAAATGAAGTTTACAAAGTCCAACAATTATCTGCAGGAATAAATGAGAAGAAAACAGAAATTAAAGAAGGTATTGATATCATTAAAGTGCAGAATGTTGCCGAAAAAGCTAGTGAAAAAGCTTCAATTGTAAAAGAGAATGTGCATAATATAATGTTAAAAATATTATACTATTAACAGAACAACTATATGTGATACCTGGTCAGATAGACATAATATTGAATTAAAAGATAAAGAAAAGACTGTTAATGACAATTATGCAATACAAGATGAAATAGTAGCAACAATAAGTAAGTAAGAAAACGGATAATCCACAAGATGAAAGGATTATACTAAATTATATTACTATATAATTATAAAACTATATCTAAATTATATACCAATATAATAAATTAAGATGATACAATATACATGTTATATATACATTAGATAATACAATTACATACATATGCAACTGTATAAAATTATTTGTTCATTTATTTTTGGAATATTATGTAAGTGAAATAAACCCTTATTAAATAACAAGAATACACATTTAAAAAAATATTCTTTTCTCCAAGAAAGAATATATATATCAAAATACAATTTATTCTAATATATTTGGATAAAAAGACCGAGTGTAAAACTTTTGTACACACATTTAGAAAATATAATATTCCAACTCCGATTAAAATTCACAAAAAATTTCTCTTTATACAAACGCAACTCTAAGATACATATATGTAACAAGGGAAAAGTACAATTATTGACTGTAGAAACACCTGTGAGAGATTCGCACATTAAAACGCTTGTCCTCTCTCTCGCCTTTCTATCGATTCGAGTTCGGTTGATAGTAATCGACGGCGTGGGAGGGGGAGTATCATTGACCCCGATGGTCCCTTTCTTTTCTCAGTCACTCTCATTTCACCCCCTTTCACCACACACACACACGCCATGCGCACTCGCCTTTCATAGGATGCGCGCGCGCGCGCTTCACATCCATTCATACGAAATATACGTTACTACGCGAGTAATAACTACTATCTGTCCTGCCGAAGCGGACGCTCTTTCAATATATCAAGCCATTACTCACGATGTCCAATTTACTACGCTACTACAAGCATTGCCGTTGTGTGATAAACGAAGCCAGGGCTGGATATGAGAATAATAGCACTTGCTTCGCGAATAAAATTTATTAGAATGATCAATATCATAATAATTTAATTATTAATATATATAATAATTAAATTAATATGTAATATATATTAATATTAATTTAAATTAATAATATACTGTAATAATATTAATATTATATTTATAATAATATATTTAATATTAATTTAAATTAATATATAATAATTTAATATATAATATTGAAGATAATCTGTCGTGAAAAAAAGTAAAATAATAATAAAATTATATTCTTTTATATTATAAAAATTATATTCTTCAATAATATATACATATATATATATATTAAAATGCTGAATTCTAATATTTCTCTTCTACGTGCATAGAAGTTAGCTTTTATTCTTTTTACTCAACAATGTCAATTAAATCAGTTAAAAGATTTAATGTTTCTCAGTTTATTCTTAATATTATAAATTTATTCTTTAACATTGAACTTAATATTATAAATTTATTCTTTAACATAGAATCCAAGGAGAGCGCAAAAGCAAAGCAATGTCAATTTTAAAATAATGTATTGAGGAAATTTACGTCAAATGACAATATTTTGACTTTTGTTTTCCTTGTGAAAAAAAAATTACTTTAAAACTTTCTTTCTAAGGAAATTTTCCCTTTCGCTCATAATATATATATATATATATATATGTAACTTTCAAGTATAAAATTATATAAAATTATATTATTTAACGATCATCTCCTCTTTCTTCCTCCTTTCTTTGTATATAATTTTTAACTTGAAATAATATGTCATCCTTGCAAATGTATTCGATTAATTTCTGCAGAGAGAAACGAACTTTCTCAATTCGACCTAATCATGTAACTCAAGTTCAAGAGAGAAAATTGCGAGGCCATCGTTCGCCGAAGTCCCGAGGTCGGAAAGAGAGAAGGGAGGCTTTTTCCCCCCTCCGCGAAGGCCGGGCCTGGGATACGACACGACGTGTATGTGTATGTGTGTCCATGTGTGTGCACACATCGGCATTCATTCTCGCATCGTTCCAATTCCAAGATGGAGAGAAAACAACGTCGCGCCTGCTCTCGCGCAAGGTGGTTGTAAACACAAGCGGTGTCGTCGATGATTCTGCCGTTTCCGCGCGAGATCGCCGAGAACGTGCGATGGCCAAGTCCGTCCTGTCCTCGGACGGCCTGCCCAAGGCTGGTCGCGTGAACGAAGGTGAGAAAGAGATCGGTTTTTTTGTCCTTTCCGAGGGTGACGCGCCTCTCCTGTCACTGAGACTGTCCGTTCGAGCGACAGTCTTTGCGTGCTTTTTTTTATCCCATTTTTCTCTGTAAAAAAAAGAACAAAACGGTCGAGCATTCAGTTTGTTCATGCTTTCTTCAAGTTGCAGACAGGGTGCAATTAAGCGAAAAACGGACTCGTTTCTCTTGACGGAGCGCGCGTCACGATTAGTCATTGCATTGGCATCCGTACATTGTATCTGTGCGATTTTACAGTGTGTCGCGAATGGCTGGTGCACGAGGATGGGGCGCTGGCCTACCGACTTCAGGATGAAGAAAGTACGTAAAAATTTCACGCACTTCAAAAGTCAGATTTGTGCAGGGGGTCCTAAGAATGTCGCCTGCCCTGGCCCCATTAGCTTGCTATCTCAGGGAAAGCAAAGACGATAAGTAATCTACCTAGGAATCAAATCTCTGAGATTAATGTAATCAAGAAACTCACTATTATTATGGAAAAGCACGCTTGTTAAACTGTCTACAGGGAAAATATGATTGTTCATATAATTGAACGATGAAGATTTCATCTTTAATTTAATGATTGCCAAGTGGGAAGAAAAAGAATACATAATATAACAATTTTGTATAGAAAATAGACTAATATTTTGTAGAGAAAATAAACTAATATTTTGTAGGGAGAATGGACCAATATTTTGTAGAGAAAATAGACCAATATTTTGTAGAGAAAATAGACCAATATTTTGTAGGGAGAATGGACCAATATTTTGTAGAGAAAATAGACCAATATTTTGTAGAGAAAATAGACCAATATTTTGTAGAGAAAATATTGCAGAAAAAAAAGATTTTACAGATTTCATTGACTGTTGTTTATAAGAGACTTATAAACACATTGATGATATTTTTGTTTCACAGTCAAAGAGCATTATACAGGCAACAAAACACGTAATGCACAGGTGAGGGAAGATGCACCACGAGCCAAAGTTGAACAGGAATTGGAAGCATTGAGATATCAAAACTATGTTCATCAACAGTTAGTATAACATGATTAGCATAAAATATACAATTATTTAAATATTTATATTTTTCAATTCCTCTTTTATTTATAAAGGGAAGAGAGAGATGCGCTTGTCGCGCGGCAAATTGCGCTTTCCTTGGAACGAGAAGAGAGACAGAGGGAGCGTGAGCTTCAAGACCTGATGAGATTACAATTAAGATTAGGAGATGAAGCTATGCAGCAGGATATTGAAAAGCGTATACAGGAAGAGAAAGACGAGGTAATTATAAAACCTTACTACTATCTAAGCAAGTTAATATCTTCATTAATATCAGAAAATGATTCTACATTGGTAAAAAATTTGTTTTTTTTTTTTTAATATTTTTTTACATGACAGGAACTGGCGAGAAAATTGCAGCAAGAGGAGAGAGAAGATTATCCGGACGGTCCGAAAGACGAGCAATTAATGTTGGATCAAAAACTGGCGATGGAGGCGCAGGACGCCGAATTGGCACGAATGCTTCAGGACAAAGAGCGGGCAAAGGCGCGAAAAGCGCGAGAGAGAGCGAGACAAAAAAAACTGGAGCGTGAACGTCTGCAACAGCAGCAACAACAGCAACAGTTCGAGGAACAGAATCTTACGACGCGACCACCAAGACCGGACAGGCTCGACTTGAAGACTCCGCCAGTCAAGAATCGAGCTCGTCATCCGCTTAACTATTCTCAGTATCCAGATCCTGAGGAAATTCAGACGTTGGATGACCCCGAAAGTTCACAAGAAGTGGCAAATGTCGCGGCCATCATCGACCCTACTTATAACGCGCATCGTGGTACCTCCAGCAGCTCGAGTAGCACGATTAGTCCCGTTTACGCTTTACCAACGCCATCGCAAGAGCTGATGATCGATGAAGCACCGTGTTACATGCCGATCCAAGGCCAGCGACGGAATCAAGTCCAATCGCCATCCAACGCGCACGACGAGAAGCAAAAGCGACGCGTTAAAGACGGGTGTAAGCACCAATGAGAAAGAGATAGAGAGAGAATTGAGAGATCAGTATTTTTTTAATAGAATGTATTTTATACTTTTGTTTCTTTTTTTTTAATCATCAAATGATGACGTAAGTTAATAGATAACTGATTTATTTTGGAAAGGATGCAAAGGCTGATTCTTATCTAAAGAAATGCAATTTTGTTATGCATTGATACATATTTATTTTCAGAAAATGTATGAGTCTCTCTCAGGACTTTTCAATTATTTTATACTGACAGGATTTACTGCCATACGTTATGCGATGATATAATTCGCATTACGTAAAATACAACGTGCCTTTTAAAGGGCATAATTAAATTTGAAACGGCCTTGACAACACAAGTTGACAAATTATCTAGCAATATAAATTGAAGTTACGATTATAATCTATTTGAATGGATAGATTGTACCGTCCTCAATTATATTTCTCGTGTCCCTAATTGTCATAAAACATATGACATATGTTAGTATAAAAACTGCTTTATTAATGACAATGTTTTTCAATATTAAAATTTTGACACCTTTAGCAAGAGAGTTGAAGTGAAGAAAGATATTATAGACAATCATAAAATCATTTACAAAAGATATATATTACGATGCACACGTTTATGACAAAGAAAGAAATAATAATATTGTATAAATGTTGATTGACTGTAAAAATTTACCACAGAATCTCTTAATTCGTAAACGGTTCTAATGTACACAGGGTGTAATTGAAACACATGAACAAATCGTGATAAGAGATTAAAACATTTTTTCCGACTTATATTTAATTTGTTTAAGCAATCAAGTTTAAATGAAGTCTCATATAATCGATATTCGATTTGTTCTTGCAGAATGACATGTTTCTATAAATAAACATTAAAAGACTTCATGATATCAAAATATTAGATATATAGAAAAAAGTTAATAAACAGTCAAGGTGATGACAAAAGTAGATCTCCTATTAATAATAGATAAACTTAGCTATCATCCTCATGAACTATATAAAATTATAAATTTAAAAATAATTTATAAGAAAAAAAAATCATAAGAAATTTAGAAACAGAACAAATGAATATGATGTAAAAAGAAAGAGAAAAACCAGAAATACATACATGAAGTCGAAAAGAAATAATTTTTCATGCGATCTATAAGAAGTCGATCTCCTTCATGATTTCCAAAAGCAAAGAGGTTCCCATTGGTTACTACTAAGAAAGAGAAACAACAATTAAAATTTGCATAATCTCGCTGCTGAATCGAAAACGTTCATAATTGTGAAATCATGATTGCAATAAACGCTTAATAAAAAGAAAGTTACTTACCAGAGACTCAGGAAGAATAATAAGAGCTGTTATCAAGAGTCATTACAACTGATCGAAAAATTAAAGTTCAAAGTCAGGCAAGATAGGTTTACATGTATAAACAAGGAGAAAAAAACGAAGCACAACATTAAATTTTAGATGTAATCGACAAATACATCTGATCTTATATAGAACTTTAATTTTGCGATTAATTATAATAATTTTTTTGATGAAGTTTCATTCTATTATTCCTCCTGATTAGTAACTTTTTATGAAGTGTTTATTGCAACAAAGTTTTAATTAATTTTTATAGATATAATCGTATGAGAAATTATTTTTTATATGAACTTCATGTAAATTTATATTTTTTCTTTTTAATTTATATTATGTCCACTTGTTCCGCTTTTCTTATATATAAAAATTTTTTTATATAATTTTTATATAAAAATTTTTTATATAATTTTTATATAAAAATTTTTTATAACTTTTAGTTTTAAATATGTAGCTTTATAGTTTTATATAGTTCACAAAAAATGACTCAATGAGTCTAAAACGTTTGAAAATAAATTTACCCTAATTAACAGGAGATTCATTTATTTGCTGTGTTTATCATCTTGCACTTTTAACTTTTTCTTTACATATTACCAGATTACATACGTTTCCATTACACATTGTACAGAGAGAAAGAGAGAGGGGGGGAGGGGGAGGGAGAGTTCTCTAAATGATATGCGAGAGATATTAAATTGATAACTTGATAATAAAACCTCTTTTATAATTAATAAGATAGAATAAAGAATAACACTGCCAAAGATAACACTTTAACGTGTTGGCCTTTAAACAAATAAAAGAAAGGGTTTATTAAAGAAAATACGCGTCTTGTGCGTCTGTAAAGATCTATAAATCTATATCAAGCGAACGTTACATATTGCAATCTTTTCCCCCGAATTTCAAAACACAATATGAACAAAAAAAATATTCATTAGACATATTGTTAATTGTGTCTCGGGGGAAATGTTAGAATGCAGAAAAATGCCATGAGTTATAGTTGTTATTTCCTTCTTTCCCTGCTTCAAAAAAAATATGTTTAACTATTTATATAACTTCAAAACGACACACACATTTATAAAATGCTGTCAGAATTTATTTGTTATTATTTTTCGATCATTATAATAGATGTATTCGGCTTTGTTTCATACACTTGCACGCACACGTACATACACACATAATACACAATATATCGTTCATTAATTTATATAAGGGCTATTCGCGAAAGGATTAGAATCTATATTGATATAGCTTCAAGTAATATTCTTCGTATGTATATTTTATATATATAGGAATTAATTTGTAATAATGTATATTTTTGTGGTGACTGGAGTTTTTTTCTCTTTTTTTTGATACTATATATGTCATGTATTATCTTTCTTTTACATTTATTGTATTATACATGAGTACATTAATAAATTATTTACAAAGGTATGATACATTTTGCCTTTTTTTTCTTGCCGGAAAAATACTATAGGAATTATTTGCAAGATATATAGCAGAGAGAGAGAGAGAGAATTCTGCGCTATAAAATCAAATTCTGGAAGTATCAACGAAACGAAAAACGTATTCACAGCAAGTTTTTCAAAAGAGTGTACATAAAACGGAATGAATATTACTATGAGCGTTAAAGAGAAGAAGAGAAAAAGTTTATATAATACAATTTCAATGATAGTTTATCATTTAAGTTTATATTTTTGACATGTGTGACAGATTCAAATATTATAGCTTGTTAAAACGATATATCCGAGATTTGAATGAAACATCATTTGTCCATATAACTGACATGCAGCATGTAACACAGATCAAATGACTTGCACAAGCTTATGGATTGTGAAAACAATCTTCGCGTGAGAACTACATATATTTTTTTTTATTTCTTAAATATATTTCTAATCACGTGTACTAGCGTATATTCCAAGTACTGTCGCTATAGTCGATCACATACAACCGCAATTTAAAATAAATCATAATTTGAATAAAGGAAAAAAATTGCTTTATCTAATCAACCAGATATTCTATCAAGAAAAGTTCAATCGTTTGCGAAAAAAAGAGAAAAACAAAATTGAATTTAACATTGATAATGTAAATTTAATGTCTCTATAAAATAACATCGAAAGGTACATAACAAAACATTTCGTTTCCGTATGTGGTCCCAGCGTAGCGTACAAAATCTTTCATTTCATAAGACAACTGATCAACTTAAAATTTATCGCTTAAATGTCTAATTCAATGATTCTATCTACCTTCATTCATCAAACATTTGTGATTGTTAATCGTATATCAGCGAAAAATCACTTTGTACTATCCCAGCGAGAACATAGAAATGAACTGAAATTAACTTGACAATTTTCTGTAAAATGTCTTTCATAATCTCTCTTTTACTTCCGTATCAAAACAAAAAAAATTTTAAATATTTACTACGAGCCAACAATTATTGAAAATTTAAATTTGCAACAACTAATCGTGCAGACAATTTTAATTGACCTATAAGCGCATATTATAAAAAAGAAAATCAAAAAAATATCGCAATGTAAAGAAAGATATGAAATAAATTTAAATTTAAATCTAATGAAAGATGCGCGATAAATCAAAATTTTTTCGCAGAAAATTTCCTGTTTAATCTGTTGTACTTTTGCATTTTTTAGGTATAACGAATTCTGTCCGAAATCGCGATCTAAAATTCTTTGCAATCAAGCGAGAATAACGGCCAGATTTGAGGATGTGAGGTCTCCGAACAGCTGATTGTTTCCCCTTTTCCTGGTCAAGACTCGGTATGAATGAGCTTAATTTTCTGAAAAAGATAAACACAAGGAAAATAAACTGACTTATTCTAGGATATAATCGAATTGATTTACTTTCTCAGATATAATTCTTAGAATCTTAAATATAAACAATGTGCAAAAGAAAAAACATGAGAGAATGTTCGTATTGATCAATTAATAAATAATGACCTACGATGTTGTTTGGATTTGGTTTGAGGCGATGAGAACACATAATTTGGAACGTTCCCAATATCTGTAAATTAAAAATCACAATTTCAATAAACATTCGAACACCTACTTCACAGAAGTGAATGGCATTACATCATAGTACAGAATTTTAACAGAATGAAAAATTCAACTATTTACTAAATTATATCAAAAGTAGTAGAAGTAGTACAAATTCAAAGTAGTAGAAATTCAATAATTCAAGAATCAATCTCTGAAACTGATCTTCAGGATTCGATCATATAGATCGTTTATTTATTTATCATTACATAAAATATGTTCTGTAATTCTGAATCTACAAAACATTTTGTATTTATACAGGATGTTTCAGACCATCTATTTAAAAACTAGAGAAGTTATTTCAAAAAAGTAAAAACATTTTCTTTATAAATCGGGTGCACTCTATCAAATGATGATATTTTCAATTTCTGGTTCCGGCCGGAAAATAGGCGATTCAGACCGGAAGTGCATTTTTTAAATGAAACCCCCTATTTTTCATTGCATATTCTTGTAACTTACCTCGAGAGCTTTCCAAAACACTATAATAAATTATTTTTTCATAAAGTACTAATATTCATTTTTCGATTACCTTACCTTAATACTTTTATGTATAAAATAATGAGAGGAATCAATTGGTGTAAAGAAAACATACAGTTGTTTGTAAGAAAAAATATGGAATTGTTAATTGCAAATTACATATTTTTTCTTAGAAACAACTATGTGTTTTCTTTATACCAATTGATTCCTCTCATTATTTAGTACATAAAAGTATTAAGGTAAGATAATCGAAAAATGAATATTTTACAAGATATTTTACAGTTTATGTAAAATTAAGAAATGATTTCAAGCCTCATAACTCGAAAAGTACTTCATGGAAAAATAATTTATTATAGTGTTTTGAAAAGCTCTCGAGGTAAGCTATAAGAATATGCAATAAAAAATAGGAGGTTCTATTTTAAAAAATGCACTTTCGGTCTGAATCACCTATTTCCGGCCGGAACCAAAAGTTGAAAATATCACCATTCGATAGAACGCACCCGATTTATAAAGAAAACTTTTTTACTTTTTTGAAATAACCACTTCTCTAGTTTTTAAATGGGTGGTCTGAAACACCCTGTAGAATGTGAATATAAGATCATTCATCTGATAAACAATCTCATTACCTTTCTCATTCAATGGCACGTCATCCATCTTCTCTGGCTGTGAAAAGGTAAACAGACTGGATTCTTGACTCGTGTCAATCTTACGCGATCTGCCTCGCTTCCGTTTTAACGTATCCTGCTTCGTATCTTCTTGAACCGTCGTCGTAATCGATGTTCTTCCTTTCGACGTGCTGGTATCTCGCAGTGCAACTCCGCTCTTCTGTTCGTCCTCCTGAGATCTTACTCTGTCCTCGTCCTCCGTTGATTCTTCCACTATCGGTTCCACCGCGATGCTTCTCGTGCGAATGTTCCTGGTCCTCCTCTTCACGTCCTTGGGCGTCACGTCTGCGCTGGATGCTCTTCTCTCTCTGATGTTATCTTGCTCGGATGTTTTCTTCCGAGAGGATCTCGTCTCCCTCATCGGCGGACTCAGAATCTCCTCCAATTCCTCCGGTATGGATAGTATCGACGAGCTTCGACTGCGCGTGTTTCTCGTCAATTTGTTAACAACATCCGACGTATTCCTCGTGACAAAACTCCTGGGTGTCCTCGACTGCTCCTCCGATGGCTCGGGAACTTCCGGGATAATTTCTCTTGCTATACTGCCGGACCTACTTCTCCTGCGAGTCTGCATCGTGATCTCTTTAGGCACCGAATTGCCGCGTCTTCGACTTGTCTTGATCTCTTTAAGCTCCTCCTCTTCCAGTATTACCTTCTTGTCCGAATCCCTCATGGACAATCTCGAGGAAGATCTCTTCGTTGGTTTGTCCGTATCGGATGACACCGAGGACTTTCTCGCGCGCAGGGATCTCTTCCTTGTATTCTTATCTTCTTCATCGTCACTGATTAGCTTCGCGGGACTCCTTGGGGCATCTTCCTGAAATTCTTTTCTCGTGCTAGAAGAGCTAAGTCTAGTACTTCTCCTAACTGGTAGCTCGTCCTTGACGCTCTCGGAGTCGCTGTCTTTCACCTCAATCCGAGGAGTCTTCTTCCAGGTCGACGATGTAGATCTGAGCTCTTTTTTGACCGATAGCGACGCATCTGAATTTCCCGATTCGGTCGTGGGTCTATCGAGGTTTTCGTCTATCAGCGAGCTCGTTAGCACGTCCTTTACGAGAGAACTCGCTCTTCGACTGCGCAAGGATCTTCCTGGAGAACCTACCTCCGTTGTTATCGAGCTCGCTCTCCTTAATCGAGGCGGCTTTTCAGGATTCGTATCCTGCGACGAAGGAGAATCTGTGGGTAAATCTGATGTAATTGAAGTGATCCTCTGTAATAGAGGAGGTTCTTCAGAATCTGTACTTCGTGAATCCACTGGCGAGCTCTTTGTCGTCAAACTTGCTCTTCGCGGAGGCTTTTTCGTTTTGTTGCGTGAAGAATCCGTTGTCACATCTTTCGTCATTGAACTCCCCCTTCGTAGACGAGTGGACCTTTCTGGTTCCACCTGTGAAGCATCTGTTATTTTATCTTTTATCATCGAATCCGCTCTGGGTGATCTAGTTATTCGTACATATGGGACATTTTCCAATTCCATGTGACTCCATTTGTTCTTCGAGGAACCTTCAGCTTTTGATAGCTTCTCTTGATATTCTACTGATTCAGTTTCATCTACTTTCGAACGAACATTTATGTTAGAATCCTTATCATCGGCATCAGGCTGTGCAACTTCATCGACAGCATTTTTCGAGACGCTCTCTCTCCCGTCTGACTTCTTCTCATCGGATTCACTTTGGTCCTTCTCCGCTTCGGGATTCTGTAAATTCACGGATCCTTGTAAATTAGAAAATCTACCATTTTTCGCCCTCGACTCTTCAATTTCTCGAGTGTTGGAATCGGACTCGTCGTCCGTGATATTCAAGTCGTAAAATATATTCTCCGAAGGAGCAGTCGAGATTGAATGTTCCTTTTTCCCATCGTTATCTGTCTTATTGGATATCATGGGCGTCGCGCTTCTGGCACTCGTGACGGATTCGTCGTCGGTGAATTCAACGTCAGCCATCGCTTGCATCGCCGATTCTCGCAGGCCATTAGATTTCGCGACGTCGTAGCATCCCTCCGTTTGATATCCTGGATTCCAAGTTTCAGACAAATGGGGACCGGAGACTCTGCCTTCCGATTGCGCGTCCTCCAGATGCGTGGACAGACTCTCGAATGTCTCATGTTCGTCCTCATCGTCTCCGTCGTCCCGCAACCGAAGTAACTCATCTTCAGATTCGTCCAAGTTCGCAGTCTCCGCGACCTTCTCCGAGAACACGGGCTGTTCTTCGCAAGGATTTCGTGAACTTGGACTTTCCTCCCTCGCGACGTTTCCATTATTGTATTTGCTTTCGCTCTTGCTCTCAGTTTTCTTCTGCAGTACATCTTTTTCTGGACTATCTCGTTCCTCAAGGTTGCTTCTATCGTAATTAGATTGTTCGTCACGCTTCGTAGACTCACCTGGCACATTAAGATCCTCTTTCTTTATGTTACTCATAAATGATTCCGACTCCACGTCTTTATCGTTGTCATCAACTCGTATTGCTCGCTTAACAAACATCTTCTGAGAAACTATATTTTTCGTTATTGGGGTGGATGAAATAGTAAATTTATTGTGACTGTGTCTTTCTAATGCCCATTCTAATGGACTGGCGCGTCCTGGTGTATTCGGGTAACTGATATCGATGCTAGTGCCCGGAGATAGCAAGGTGGTTGAGTAAGCCGACTGTGATGAGCTGCACCTCTTTGACGTATTCTCTTCAGCAATCGACGAGAAGGCGGCAGACGAATTTGCGGACGTACCGCTCACCTTCTTCGCGCAAGATTCTTGTAGTGATTCTACGGATAAGGCACTTCTTCGGAGGCTAGGTCGCGGACGGGCATAGCAATAAATCTTGCTGGAGGCAACGCTGCTGAGGTCGCTCAAGATCGCGCTTTCATAAAATGCCGACTTGCTTGGATTGAGAGACATCTCATTGCTCGCCTTGGAGGAAACGTTGGTCTCATCACCGCTGGCTTCCTCTTCCATTTTCTTCTCTTCGTTTTCTTCCTCTTCCTCTTCTTCATAAGTCAAGATTTTCTTGGACTGATTAATGTCGAATCGTATTTGTCTATTGATTTTCCTCTCGTTCTGAGACAGCCTATCGGCAATTTCTTCCCCTTGAAACGACGCGACACTCGATGAGCTCTTTACAAGCTGCCTGATCTTCAGGATTGATTGTGGCGTTTCCGCAACATTATCTTTCGTATATGCATTCAATTTACGCTCTACCAGAGGTGTCTCGAAGGCCGCTGCCAATCCTGATTCTCTCGAATCTGATTTGCTTGACAAGATGTTCCCGTTTGATAATTTTCGGCGTTTCGCGTTGTCCGGCGTGTTACTCACTTCTTCATCTTCTTCCACATGAACCTGATCGATTCTACGTTTGCTGCAACTCTTACGTACCAATGTCGGGAATGACACGCAGTTCATATTCGATCCATAATTGTTAAACTTGAGCGACATACATGGTACGCTGATAAACGGGATCTGATATTTCTCATTACGAATATAGGTTTCTCTAGCCTTCGTAATCACCGTCTCATATATGTTTCGCAGCCTGTCATGACTCTTTCGATGCGACATCGGTCTGGAATAGCGTGCCTTTAAATCTACGTCCGAGCTGGTCGCTGCTAATCCGTTTGAAGAGAACTGCTTCGTGACATCGGGCAAAGTCATATTGTACGCGTCGAGCATACTGAGCGACGTGGACTGAATATCCTTAGTGAAATTCGATTGGTACTGTCGAATCGGATGATTACTGATTGCCTCCGTATAACGGCATCGTTGCAGGTAGTACAACAATCGTAAATCTTCTGTCTTATTTTCCTCGAGGAATCTGATAAACACTTCCTCTTCCTCGATATCCAGCGCCAGATGCAAAATCTCATTGAGCTTACCGTACTTCTTGCACGCCCGGAAGAAACAGATCAGCAGCTGTTCGTAGTGACAGGGTGGTCGACGATGAAAGGCCGATTGCACGAGACCGTGTTCCACCGAAAGACTCACGGCAACACCTTGCTCCTCTAAAGAGGATAGAGGAGGCTTTCTGACGCGGAGATACACGAGCGCAAGTTTGTGCTGATTATTGCGCACCAAGGTGCGCAGTATAAGTCTGTGGTGCCAATCCTTAACGTCAGAATCAGAAATCAACTGACCAGTCATTGTATCGAGGAATTCCTGATAGTCCTCGTGATCGAGCAACCAAAACGCCTGAGTGAGTTTGATGAGACTGGGAGTCATTTTGAATGCGGACGGATACTTAATTAGCTGCTTCACCGCGGGATATAGTCGTTGTAATAGCATCGCCTGCAAATCCATCAAGAGGTAAATTGTGATCTGATGCTTGCAACTAATCTCACTCGCTTCTGTTTGCTGATAATCGGTTAAATAACTGCGTAAGAGGGACTGCAACGATGGCGGTGGATAGTAGCCGCCCGTGGCGGTGCCACCTTCTCTCTCCCATTGTGCCTTCAACATGGGACATTCACGCGTTATCAACTCGTCGATGAATAAATCCTGTTCATTTTCGTTACTGTTATTGTCCTTCTGATATTGCGCTCGTTTCTCCTTGTAAAGTGCCGAGAGTCTCTCATAAGGATAAGGCACTCTTAGTGCTAAGGAGATAGGTAAAGTATTTTCCTCCTCATCCTCCAAGTCTTGAGTTTCGGGCAACAGACCCACATCATAGAACCAAAGGAGCACTTGGAAATACGTAGACACGCGTTTCAATGTCCTTCGTTGCTTCTTTAAATCTGTCCCCGCGGACGGTAATTTACCCACTACATTGGACAGGCACTCCAATTGCTGCGAACAAAATCGTAGATTCTTTACGTCAGCCTCGCCGATGCTATTACCTGACTGATCGAACAAAGGAACGCACAGCCGATCAGCGATCATTTTTATCGTGGAGGCTCTCTGGATGCCCCATTTGAGGAAAGTAGGATACAAGTAAGAGGCACTACCGTCCGACCACTCTACGGCGCATTTCACCAGAAAGGTAGACCACCGTTGCTCCAAGCAGAGCGACAGCAACATTTCTCGCTGCGCGTCTTGATCGCTGGCGAACGTAAATTCCGAGTTAAATGGCACCAATCCAACGGAGAGACACCTGTGAAACGTTTCAGACGGTTGTATTAGTATAATCGGACCGGCTATAGCCATTTCACGCAGCAGATCTGCCTGAATACCACGAGTCATCCAGAATGTTAGTCTCCTTGAACTCAATTCCACCCATTCGAACGACAAGGAATTGGGGTAGAATAATTCTTCAGGTGAGTTTGGACCTGAGCTGGGAAATTCTTGCAAACTGAGCGGAACGTACGCAAAGTTGATCACCTGACGGTCTGCATTTTGCACGTCGGATCTCGTGCAATACGTTGCTAATATGCTGTTTGGATTCTGACATTCACTAATGGTACGCGGCATCTGTTCCTTGTACCATTGATTCAGGTCGAATAATAGTATCCTCTCGTTGGTGGCGATGAGCAGTAAATTATCCTCACCTCTTCTGGCGCTCGATTCCGTCTGTTCTGAATTGGACTCTCTCTCGACAGTGTATAAGCCAACGATTCTATCTCCTTCGCTCAACTCTGACTCAAACTTGAGGCTGGGATCATCTTCCAAGTTGAAATACAAGTTGACGTCTCTGTCATAATATTTCCTCTCAAATAGCATAGCGTACATTCTTAATATCGGTGGCATTCTCGATAATTCATCTTGAAATACTACCCACAAATAATAAAACGGTCGAGGATCATCCGTGGGTTCTAACAGAGCTAGATGCGTAACTGCCATGTTGTCATCGATAGGTGCACTGATCCATCTTATAGAACCATCGTTTTGCCAAATTATTACTCTACCCAAACAGCCAGAGATTAAACAGCCGATCTTCGTGGAACTAATAATTGCAGTGGTCAAACTCTCGCCGAGTAAAGGAGATGACTCGAAATCTTCTCTATTAAAACCAATGTGCTTTTCTATACCTAAAAACAAAGTAATTAAATTAAGACTATCAGTATTAAAATTTTAACTTTTTTTAAAAAGATTGCATTAATTAAAAAAATAATGATTCTTAATTATTATAATTATTATATTACTAATTATTATTATTATACTATTAATTATTATAATTATTTATAGTAATTATAATAGAAAGTCTGTTAATTCAATAAAAAATATACAATAGTGATGCAATTACAAAATTGTATTATTATATATTTAATAAGAAATACTAATATATTTTTTACCTTTTTTTTAAATCTTTTATTAAAAAAAATCTATGCATTAGTATAGATACAAAAAAAGATATAAAACTTGTTGATATATTCAATTCTCTTATTTAATAATACAATACCGTTTAAATGACAACAGATCGGTTGTTATTAATGATATTTAAACACATGTATCCAAACATGAAACACATGATATTTATCTTTCAGGAACTCTCTCATAAATCATGGCAACTTATTGAGAGCAAAAGCGAGATAAATTATCATAAAAAAAATTTTTTTAATCTTTTATAGCAAACTTGCCTACTCATGAATTTACTGGCGAATGTTAAGAGAATAACAATGCTGTAGAATTATTAAAGTTCATATTGAATTTTCAAAGAGGACGTTAAACAAAAGTCAAAATAAAATAATAAATATATCTTGAATAATAAATATAAATATCTTGCATATATATTTTTTTTATATGCTTATGTTTTTGTAAGACTCTTTTTATATTTAATTGAAAACTAAATATTAAAAACATTAAATTTAAAAAAAATTTTTTATATAAATTTCATGTATTTAAATAAATGAAATTTAAATAATATTTTCATATTTTGTTATTTTAATCACGAAAATTTTATTAAGCCATTAGAAAATTATAATTTTTAAAAAGATAAAAATTATAAATACTCAATTCTTATCATGAATTGTGACCAAGTATATTGTTATACACTCTCTTTGCAAATAAATAAATTATTAGATAATGTCTATGACAATAGGTGATGGGCTTCAAAGTTTCTATGCTCAAGAGACAGAACAGTTATAATTATAAGATCTTTTTGTCATTGAAATGATGGAAATGTTCATCATTTAAGTGATAATTACTGTGATAATGAATACTAATATTTGTACTTACGTCTATTCAACAAATTATAAGCAGCATGTTTTTCTCGATTGGACTGATGCCTGCCAACAACTTGTTTCGCCGATAAAAAATCCAATTCTGCTGGAGATGTTTCATCCATAACAGAGGACAAATCATATACATCCCATGTACGTCTTCGAAGATCAATCATGATATGCTCAAGATTACGCAAGACTACACAAGCTATTCCATCCATTTCATTCAATACATTATCCGATCTTTTATCATTAAATTCTTCCCATTCCGCACCACCTGATACAACACATACTTGTTCCACGCCACATGACATCTGTGAAATATAAGAAATACAAGGAAATTAATATCTTCATTAAAGCTTTTTTTTAATAATAACTTTCTTTAAATAATATTTACCCGAATTGCTCTCAAGACACGGGATGTTGTACAATCAAATATACACAATAAACCAGATGAATCTTTCAATCTGTTTGCACAGTTATCCACTCCAACCAACAGCAGTGGAAACTCTCCGGTTTGCGCGGGAAATTGGGAAACTGACGTTACAATTCCACGAAATGTCCAACTGCTAATACTCTCCCCTATTTTTACATTAAAGACTATCAAACGACAGCCATAACTCAGCCACGCATATGTCGCATTGTGCAGAAATCCTCCACGGAACTCGCTGTCGCTGTCGTGCTCCTGGGAGATCGTGGACTGGCCATGTTCCTCGCTCTCTGAACTTCTCAGTCGACTCGACACAGGAAATTGCAGGTTCACGATTCTGCGAATCTGTAGCAAAAAAAACAGAGATTTATCAGAGGCAGGAGAAAAAATTGCTCTAGTCGAATAGAATCGTTTTTCTTTTCTTGCCATACATTTAAGGTAGGGAAACTTAATCGAAAATACTACTGTACTGTATTACATATACAGGGTGTATCTTAAAAAGCTCCCACTAAGCAAATAGCGTTATTCCTGATTAAAAATCGAGTCGAAAAGTCCTGAACCATTTTTTTCTATAATGCTTAATAAAGCAGTAATTAATGAATAAAGTCGCGCCAATAAAAAGACAAACTTCCTCGTTATCAACATATAAAGATTTGGATAAGCAAAAAGATAAACTATTTTGTGTTAATTTTTAAACAATTCATCTTTTCAGAAATCTTTTTAATACTTAAATCTGATTAATTATTTAATGAATCTTGGAAAAAAAATGGTTCAGGACTTTTCGACTCGGTTTTTAATCAGGAATAACGCTATTTGCTTAGTGGGAGCTTTTTAAGATACACCCTGTATATAAAAATAATGAAAATTTTCGAAAATAATGCCGCGTTTTACCTCGCAGTTGACTTCCTCCAGCTCCTTCATTTCTCACGCGAGCTACCGGGATGTCATCGATTTGATGAGAATTGCATTTAAAAGGAACGTTCTCGCGGTTTGGCTCAAGACGAGGTTATGTTGGCGCCAAACTTTACGGCTCCCTCGTAGGATCGTTAGCGAGATGAATAACGGACGAAATTTAGAGAGTGATTTATTCCCAAGAATTTGGAATCCGCACGACGAGATATATACACGTATATATATCAGTATCGCCTATCATTCGTTTGGCTACTCGCGCGTGCGAGCACACGTTTTAAAATCGCGAACTCGACTACACGACTGCGAAGTACGTTAATAAGCACTGCTCCCAACCGCATCGCAATAACACGAGGCACCGCACGTGGATCTCTTTATTGATTATTTCAGCGATCGTTGAGCGAAGAATTTACGCGCGTTCGAGGGACCCTCTTTGGCGACAGATTGAACGATTTTAACGATTTGACGCGTAAACGCGGGAAATAAGAGCATTTTGTGTATTGCAAAAATTTTTATTTATAGAGGGAGAGAGAGAGAGAGAGAGAGACGGCTCGAGATACTTCCTATTCTCTCGCGTGAAGTTAGGCGCACTTTGAGGGCTTGGAGCATGCGCATCGCGTCTAGATATTCGTGCTTCGAAGCCTCGCTCTCTCATTCGATCTAATAAATTATTCCCCGATAGGACATTTGTGAAATTATACGACAAAATCTTGCATGAAATTTGTGACTTGCAATTGTATGAATATATTTTAAAAAATACATGTAAGATAGATGTAAAAATATATATTGATCTTTTATAAAATATTAACATACAGGGTGTCACTTAATTAGCGCCCACTATTTATAATACACAGACAGTAAATTCCATTTCAAAAAAAGGAAGAAGAATTTACTTGAATAAAATATAAAAAGTTGACTTAGATGCAAAAATATTTGATGGGGAGGTAAATGAAAATTTACGAAAAAATAATTAATTTCGCTAAGGAAAGATCAAAATTTACAATATATATAGATTTATAGATTCAAATTAATCAGAAAATCTATTATAAAGAGAACATTGATAATATTAATACACCCTATATAGGCTGCGTTCCAAATTTCATTGCCAACTGAAAATCTATTGTGTACGTCATGTAAACTATAGATTTTCAATACTGGCAGTGAATTTTGGAATACAGCCATAGAGTGCATATAGAGTGCATATAGTTTAAAATCATCGGATGTCCTCTTTGTAATATTTTCTGATGAATATATAAAATAATATAAAAGTAATGACAGATTATATATATATATATATATATATATATATATAATAATTTATAAGTAATGAATGACAGATTAAAAAAAATATATATATAAATATAAATATATATATATATATATATATATATATATATATATATTTATATATATAACGTAAGCATATGGCAGCATATGTGGCACATTTGACATTTGCCTCGATGTGCATTTTCGCACATACGTTAGACATTTCTTTAAGTTTTTAGTGGCTGTGTAAGTTTTTCGTATAATGAATAATCACGATTCACTTGAAACGAGTTAAATCGCGGACCCTATTATTGCGATGCGAACATTTTTTTTATATTTGTAAACGTGTCAAGTATTTTGCAAGGTTAGAAATATGTAGCAACGTGTATTGGGTACTTCGAATTATTACATGTAACAATAGGATTCGATTCTTAGGGGATGCTCCTTATTTTAGAAAAATAAAGATATATAAAAAATATTTTAAGTTACTTCTGTTTTTATACCATTAATCGTATAATTGTTTATTGACAGTTTGTTGGTGTAAGTTTTCTATTATTATAGAATTCGAGGATATTTTTTTGAGAACGGATAAATTGCAGCAAAATATATGGGTTTTCAGGAAAAAAAAATGGCATCCAATTCTGGATCTAAATCTGACCACCATGCTGGTGGTGATCAACAGGAGAGGGATATTCTATTATCATCTGTGGAAGCTAAACGCTATGACTTAATCAATGAGAAAGGCGATTACAACACGTTGACTAAATCAATCGCACATGATATTACAAAGGAATTAATTGCCAGAGAATCCGAGCACAACATTGTTCAGAGTTCTGAACCAGCAACACAGTCTTCGTACACATTATCGACAATAATGAGCACAGGAGATAGTTATGACGATGATGGCAAAATGAAAAGTGCGGAATCTTCTGATAGTGAAATTCTTTTAATTGACGAAGGTTAGATGCACTGTATTATGTTTTATGTATCTTATGTTTTATGTATCTTATATTGCAATGAAACACAAACATGTTTTTCTGCAAATTTATTACTTTAATATTTTTTCTGTAAGTTTATTACCTTAATATTTTTTTAATAACACAATATTATATAAAATAAAAAACACAATATTATATGAAATAACATAAAAAATAACATATAATAACACAATATTATACAAAATAAAAAAAGCAGTCCCTTTAACCTTTGAAACCTTTTTTCTATATTCGTATTGTTTTTTTTCTTATTGACATTTTTTTGAAAGCACTAATATACTGGCTAAAAGCACATTTGATTACAATATTAGTTGTGGATGATGCTTTGAAGCAGTTAATGTTCTAAGGTTTCACATCTATATACAAGATCTTTTTAATCTAATAAGTTTAAATTAGCCATTGTTACTGCTATAAGATAAACTATCTTTGAACCAGTATATTAGTGCTTTAAAAAAAAATGTCAATATTAAAAAAACGATATGGATATAAAAAAAAGATTTTAACATTTGAAGGTACTGCTTTTTTTATTTTAATTTAACTTGTGAGATTTAGGTATATATTGGCCATGTACTTATAATGTAGAAAATATTGGGTATAATGTAGATTCAGATATCCAAAATAAAAAGCATAGTGTTGGCGATACAGTGAGCGAACTATCAAGAGGACAATATGAGGATTTTAGTATTGATGAAAAATTGCCGGAAACCGTGACGTTATTAAGAACATCGGACGGAGGAAAATTGTACTTAGTAGGGACAGCACATTTCAGTGTTGAAAGTCAAAATGATGTGTCAAAGGTAACTAACTATATTATTCACACACACACATATTTTATAATAAAATTATTTTCTTGATTTCAAAAGGATAATTTTATTATGAAAATTTAATATATCTCACTTTATTAAAAAATAAAATAAATAATATAATAAAAAATAATATATATAAATATTTTTTTAATAAATAATATATAATAAATATTTTTTTCCTCACAGGTCATACAAGCTGTACGACCTCACATAGTTGTAGTCGAATTATGCAGAGCCAGAGTTGGTATACTACAACTTGATGAAGAAGTTATGTTTCGTTATGCCAAGGATATTGATTTTAGTGAGTTTTTATATTTTTATAATTTTTCATATCCAGTGTATGCCTTTATGTTATCAAATTGTCTCGTGTTATTTAATCTGTTTACAGGAGTTATGATGGATACCATTAAGAAAGAAGGGCTTTATAATGGTTTATTACATATTCTATTGCTGAGAATGGCGACACATGTTGCCAAGCAGTTGGGTATGCCACCCGGTGGTGAATTCCGGAGGGCATTTGAAGAGGTGAGTGTGTGCACATAAAGAAGCGGCATTATACGATGATGATCGATTTAATTTATTATCATTTTTTTCAGGCAAAAAAAGTGCCCAATTGTATCGTTCATCTGGCCGATCGACCAATTAATATAACAATGCAACGTGCGATTCGATCATTATCTTGGTGGCAGACTATAAAACTGGGATGGCATCTGGCAACAATGAAGGATCCCATTACTCAGGAGGATGTCGAGCTTTGTAAACAACGATCAATGTTGGATGAGATGATCGCCAGCATGAAGGAACAATTCCCTGTATTGGGAGAAGTGCTCGTCAAAGAAAGAGATATTTATTTGACGAACTCTCTGCAACTAGCCTGCTTGCCTCATCGTACCGCCAATCATACTTTCGAACCGGCGCGAGTTGTAGGAATCGTTGGCTTAGGACATACACCTGGTATTATCGAGAATTGGGGTAAAGTCAAGCCCACCGATATACCACCTATCATGAGGTAAATATGAGACATGGAGAATAACTCAAATAGTTTTTATTATATAGAAGATGTTCCCCATGTAAAATATAAATATTTATGGGTTCGTGCGTCTTCTTTTTCATCAGTACGAATTCGCCTGAAAAAAATAGGGACAGTAAAGTTTGACTAAAATATTTTAGAAACTCTCTATATATTAAAATAATGCAAAATCGTTTCGTGTCAATTCACTATTTTATTTTTCGTAGAATACCACCACCGTCGTTGTCAGGTAAAATCCTAAAGCTGACCGTCAAGGCATCCGTACTCGGTGCTGTAATATATATAAGTTACAAAATCGTAACAGCAACGGTACCTACTGCTACTACCACTTTCCAAACTATCAAGTCATCGGTCGAGGGACTTTTAAAGGTTGGTGCCACACGATAGGATTACACATTCGAGTTCTCGTTTACTCTATATTCTAAGAAGAAAAGTCTCTCCTTTTTCATATCATAAAACAATTATTTTCTCTTTATCTCTTGTGCTGCCTTTGTCTCTGAAAGAGTCTCTCGGACTTGCTTTTGGGCTTTTTTTATTGACACATGATGATTGCGGTAAGCATGGAGGCAACTGCTTCCACTGACGAGTACGAACACAATATAACGGACGTTATGTATGTAATAAATAATATTCCGGGGCCCGAAGTAGACGTAGCGGACTTTGAAGCGGAATACGTCGTGGGTTGTTCCTGCGCGGTTGAATGTGATAATTGTTCGTGTACTCGTGGTTCCGCTAATTATGTCAATGCTCGAATTGTCGACGAGAAATTAGTTGGTCCGGTATTCGAGTGCAACCCTCACTGTAAATGTGGACCAAATTGCGGAAATAGATTAGTACAGAACGGTCCGTTAAATTGTTTGATTGTGAAAGAAGTCGCCGGCAAAGGTCTCGGTCTATTCACAACTAAATCAATCAAAAAGGGTCAATTTATCTGCGAATACGCTGGTGAAATAATCGGCCTGCAAGAGGCGCGACGTAGAATTGAAGCCAATAAAAGGCATAATACAATGAATTATGTTCTCGTAGTGAGAGAACACATTGGTGATCGTATTATTGTCACTTGTATAGATCCAAAATATTTTGGTAACATTGGACGTTATGCTAATCATAGCTGCGATCCTACATCTAGCCTTGTCCCGGTCAGAGTAGAAAGTATCGTGCCTCGATTAGGATTGTTTGCATCTAGGAATATAGAGAACGATGAAGAAGTGACTTTTGATTATGCTGGTGGTGTAATGGCTAATTCCGTCCATTATCTCAGTGATACTCCTTGTCTTTGTGGTTCTAACAATTGTTTCCATTATTTACCACACAATCGAATTTGACAGTATAAAGTATTCTTGTACGATATTATAATAGTGACAAAGAAATTAGATTAAAAATGTTCAAAATTTAAATATCACAGATTTCATCTAAACTAATTGCGTAAATTAGAAAAAGTTGTATCTTGAAACTTGATATTGTAAAAATCAAAACATTGCAATCATTATAAACTTGAATTTTTTAAAATGTATGTATTTAACTAATAAATATAAAATGTATATATCTGATATATATATATATATATATACACATACATACATACATACATACATACATACATATATACATACATACATACATACATACATACATACATACATACATACATACAGGATGTCCCATTTTAAAAGTTCCACCCTCATAACTTTTTTTAATTTTAATTGTAGAAAAAAATGTTTCAGACAAAAGTTGTATGGCTTGAAGGGGGACATAGGATGGTATCAGTAGTTTGACATTGAAGAGTCACCTAAAGGTCACGTGAAGGTCACATCCAACTTTCTAAACAGGACACCCTATATGCTTTTACATATTCTTATAGTTCATCTCGAGAGCTTTCTAAATACTATAATTAAGTTAGTTTTCATTAAGTACTTTATGAGTTATGAGGTTTGAAATCATTTCTTAATTTTACATAAACCGTAAAATAGCTAGTAAAATATTCATTTTTCGATTATCCTACCTTAATACTTTTATGTACAAAATAATGAGAGGAATCAATTGGTGTAAAGAAAACACATAATTGTTTCGAAGAAAAAATATGGAATTGTTAATTGCAAATTACATATTTTTTCTTCGAAACAATTATGGGTTTTCTTTACACCAATTGATTCTTTATTTTGATTCCTTATCCTTGATTCATTATTTTGTACATAAAAGTATTAAGGTAGGATAATCGAAAAATGAATATTTTACTAGCTATTGAATATTTTACTAGATATTTTACGGTTTATGTAAAATTAAGAAATGATTTCAAAATTCTCATAACTCGGAAAATACTTAATGAAAATTAACTTAATTATAGTGTTTTGGAAAGCTCTCGAGATGAACTATAAGAATATACAAAAGCATATAGGGTGTCCCGTTTAAAAAGTTGGATGTGATCTTCAGGTAATTCTTCAATGTCAAACTAATGGCACCATCCTATGTCCCCCTTCAAGCCATACAACTTTTCTGAAACATTTTATTCTAAAATCAAAATTAAAAAAGTTATGAGGGTGGAACTTTTAAAATGGGACACCCTGTATATATATAGCACACATATTCATTTAGACCTTCTTTCTACAATAATCGGTGTGCGTTATAAATTATACTTATTTCTATACAATTATGTATATAATATTTTAATATTTGGATGTATCAGACAATATATCCAACTATAAAATAATTATGCTTGTATCAAAATGTAAGTAATTGACAAAAATATTATAAAAGAATAACTTGGAAACTTTGGAAATTCATCGAAACAAATGACTTAAAAATTATTTCACCAAACAAATATATCAAATATTGTTATTGTATTTCAATATTATTGTATTTTTATTCTAAAGGTAGATTGCTCATATGATGACTTGGACTTTTTACAACGATTAGCTTTTTATATTTGACTCCTCATAGTCTTCTCATTCATTGCAATTATATAAATTTTTTATCCTATAAGATATCTAAAGTTTTAATTTAAATTGTTAAATTGTTAAAATCTGTAAATGTTGTAAAAGGTAACTGAAACTATATGTTGACAATAAAATGATGTACAGTGTATAATATTGAAAATATTTTTCTTTTATAATTCTGTTCAAGATATGCGATTATGCGAAATAATTTGATATAAAAGATAATTATGATAAAAAGATATTATTAAAGAGATAATAGATAAAGAGATATTTAATTTTTTTAACAGATTTATTGTTTACATTTTTAATATATTTATAACAAAGTCAACCATTAAAAAAAATTTTTTTATAAGAATTTTTGTTTAATAAGGGAAAATAATTATTAATTTTTAATCAAATAGTCAGAGATGTAAAATTGAAGGAATGCGTTTATAGAGAATTAATTGTCATCTATGAGATAAAATTTATATATATAATTTCATTGCCGATATTTGAAATAATACAAAGTGACTAATATACTACAAATATATAACAATAAGCTTGTGATAACATACTTTTGTAAATTGTAATGTCATCTTTTTTTTGAAAAATATCTTTTCGGCGATCGCACTACATTCAATAATACCAGTTTTTAAAAACTTCTACACTAGCATTCATTTGATATGGTTAAATATAATGATAGAGAGCTATCCAAGATATAAGATGGTGATTGCAGAAATTTCATTGGAATTCTTTTTGTATTGTTTTTTTTAGAAGGATTTTGTGCGCAATATTTTGAATATTCTTTTTTCTATTAGGAGTATTAAGGTATTTTTAAGATGTCTTTATTAGAAATGTCACGTAGTTTATAGTTTACATATTTATTAGAAATGTAGTATATTGATAATTCTTTAAATTTTCGTACTATTCGTATTTATAATATACATTTTCATTTTTCTTTAATTCATTTCAGAATCACATGTCAGAATCGCTTTTTTCGCGCTGTTGCTTTTGTAATTATGCAAAGTCTTATTAATAGTACAATTACTTGCTAATGATGATGAGAGATGACTAATGATTTGACTAACAAGACATTTTTTCCTTTGGATGACATTAGAAAGATATAGATTTGCAAAGTCAAAATTGAGATCAATAAATGAATAATTTGACATTTCTTTCTTATCAGTCCATACAAGATTATTTTGCAATTGAACAGACATTGTATTAGCAGCTTTAGAAGAATATATATATGAATTGTGTTCAAAAACCTTGCTTTAGCTAGATCTTAAGTAGACAGTTCAATGTTAATGTTGGCAGTAAGTTTTCAAATTTTATTACAATGTTGATAAGAGATAATTCTTAAAATCACAAAATTAAGTACTTGCATGATTTTATGTATAAAATAATTAGTGTTTAATGTTAGATAATTACAATTGAACATTTTTTTGTTCACTACGAACTTGCAAACACAATTGTTTTTAGCTATAAAATTATTTCTGGCAATTATTTTTTGCTTGACATACAATGCTTGACATATAACTAATTTTAATTTGATTTATATATAATGGATGAGAAAAAGGTATTTGTACATTTGTAAAACATATACAAAAATTATTTACTTTGTAGTGTACAAATACTTTTCTAATCCACTTTACATTTGATGATACCAGTGCTGCAAAAAATTCTTTTTGCAAATTAAATATCATAAATTTATATTTATGATACTTTATAAACTTATATTGTACATATTATAATGCATGACTATTACATAATCATTAATTATCATTAAATATAAGGCATTAATTATCATTTCATTAAAAGTTTCTCAGACTAATATATCCTATATAGCGCTAAATAAATTAATGCGTGACAGTTGATACTGATTCATTGTTAGGTTGGTACCTCCAACGCCACCACGTTACTTTCATCCGATCCCAAATATTTTCCCACGAATCCATTGCGGGTCTCACGTCGAGTAACGCAAATGTGTACTTTTCATCAATTTTGCCGCCGTCATAATAGTCGATAATATATCTTACGTCTTTACCGCAACGATCTATAATCCAGTCATGTCGATCGAATGGCAATTCATATCTGAAAGAACAATATATTTTATATACAAAGATGATGTGTATATTTAGCGAGTTAAAGTTTATGGGATAACAACGCACCCCATCCAATGGCGAATACGCGCACGTGGAGAATATTTCGACGCTTTTCCACCGAAACTACGTAATTTCGGATTACCACATTCTCGCGCGTGAAGAGCTTCCCATTTAAGGACCTCTTGCCATGCCTGCTCATTGTTTGCATTATGAATTTTTATTATGTCATCCATATCTTTTGAAGATATATCATCGCTCTTCCATCGCCATCCTTTTCTCAACATAGCATTCCAAAACATTTGTTGAGAGGGATATACCCAAAATTCTCCCTCTTTCCCAGATGCTTTAGGTATAGATGAAACTTGTCTAGCAGTTGGCAAGGGAAATGGCTGGTCTGGTGCAGGCTGTTGATTTGCTGGTGGCATCTATAATTATGTTTGTTCATTTATGATTCAAAAATAATGTTATATAATTAAATACAATATGTATTTGTTAAAGTTAATCTTGTATTATACACACCATGTTTAATGGATTTATTTCGCTTTCATCCATTTTGTCTATTGGACATTCGCTGACATAATTTATAGTATTTAATTGACCTGACTTGTGCATGGGACATTCCGATGGTGGTTCACCTTGATATTTCTTTGTCCTATGGGATTCCGGCTTAACGATTTGTTGAGATATTGGTACTATCACATCAGCAGCTGACACAGATGCCGTGGTAACAGCGTTGCCCATGATTACACTTATTATGAAAAGAAAAAAGGATAAAAATTCGAATTAAAATGCATAAAAAAATAGTTATAAGGAGAGTAACTAAAGAATTAGCGATAATTACAATAAGAGGAAATTCAATCAAGGGAAAATTTCAAAATAAAAAAAGGATAAAAATTCTAATTAAAATGCATAAAAAAATAGTTATAAAGAGAGTAACTAAATAATTAGCGATAATTAAAATAAGATCAAGGGAAAATTTCAAGTTTAATTTTGGACGAAATAACCTTTAAATCTAACGAAGAAATTATGCAATAGTTTATATCCTTCGATGTCAAATAGAAAAATCGAGATACTTAAAAATCTATATCTATGGAATGTGGCGGGATATCGCCTGTGGTTTCTGTTAGGATTACTAAGAATTTTCAGTGAACTTTTCCAAACTTACCTGTTTCGGTAGATGCAATGTTAGATTTCAGAAATTTGATTTCTCCTTCTATTTCGTATTTTAGTAAGAGACGGATTATTATATAATTCAAAGTAAACAGCTGAGAGAGATTTTAACGTGAATCATGTATATAATTATACACAATACATGTCGAAGAAAATTGAAACATCTGAGTTCTGAATATCCGAATTCTCTTCTCAAGCGCAGACGACACGTTTTGAAGTAATTGACTGCATCGGTAAGAATGGCAGACGAGTAGAGACAATTGATGCATTCTTGCCTCCATGCATAGCGATTACTTGGAATTTTATTCGCAAATACTTATTCTTAATTTGCAAAAATATTAATATATTTATTTGAATCTGATTTTTATGATATCTTCATTTTGAAATCTAATTTCTGTTTTGAAACAGAAGAAGAAATTCCATTTATCGATCGATTTGATGGTTGATAAAGCAAGTGATCTCTAGAAATTTATTGACGAACAGACGTCATCAAGCGTCACGATTGGCTGTCTAATAGGTGGACAAAAACCGGACTAACCAATCAGCACGCGCGTCAAACGAGACGTCATGCATAGCACTGCACAGGTGCGATGATTGGCCAGCCTGATTTTTGTACAGCTCTGAAGCGGTGCCGACGTTCAAGTGACGCGACGCGAGTTCGAATCATTTCCAGAACAATTATTGCTACGTAAAAAATGGATTTTGCGCTTTATTTCGCGAGTGTCTTATAAAATATCAAACGCGTTAAATATTGTGTGCAATCGTTATCTGTTATCGTTTATTAATATTGCGCGCGATTGATTTCAATATTTCCGTTTTCGCGTCTTCAGGATCGATGGACGTCGCCTTCGCGTGTATTTTAATTTGTTATTTTCTCGCCGAAAAATGCATCCAAAGTATAAAATCATCAGGTATGTATGCTTGCACATATAATTAATGATCCTAGTCAAATATCTTGAAAAGAATATGGAAGAAGAAAAAGTTTCAAACAAAAAAGTTATTTTTGATTCGAATGAGGAAAAAAGATAGGAATATTAGTTTGACCTTAGGTGTATGTACGAAGGTTAATCCTATTTCAAAATTTTTTCCCATATCTTTTATATTTTTGTCTGGGATAATTAAAATGGGACACCCTGTATATTGTTTTATAATTATTCATCGAGTGTGTATATATATTAAATATATAATTGCAATATGTATGAATATATTGTAGCAGATAAATACTTAGAAATTAAACGCCATTTTTGTGACGATATGAGACGCTATTCTATCGAAAAAAATTATCATTATTTTAAAAATTATTATTATTAATCATAATATAAAGAATCTCAATAAAATCACATACAACTATTTTATTATTATATATGACTGATAAATCACGTCACGCGATGTATTATTTTCGTCAAATTTTATTTATTCAAGAGCTTTATGTGTGTGATCGATACGTATCGATGTGACGTCACAAAATTATGTTGAAATGTAAATGTGATCATGTTATTTTTCCTTTGAAATTAATAAAGTGCATATATGTGAATTTTTCGAATTTACGATATATTTTTACGAATTTATATAATTTATATAATTTTTACAGATTTTACAGAATTTATATAATTTTTATAGATGACAAATTCATCGATTAATGCAAATGACGGATATCCATCGATAAATGCAAATGACGGATCTGCTGATCGACGACAAAGGACGACTTGTCAATGAGTTTCAACGGATTGGATATAAGGTAAATAATAATCATATAAATTGATGCATCATTTTGCAATCATAATCACTAATTATCTAGAATATAAAAAATATCATTCTATCTGCGAAACGTGTTCATCATTCGAACATTCTGCGCATGTAACTGTGCACATATATTTTTCATCAATTACTTTCATATTTATACTTGTACGTATATATATGTATTTATTTATTTATTTATTTACAAGATGTGAAATTAAAATATAAATTTATATGAAAAAATATTACTACCATTTTTGAAAATTTTAACACTAATAGATATAATCTCGATATATAAAAAATAATAGCTTTCATCTCACTAATAATTTGCTGATATTTGAGAATTAATGTTTTATAATGTGCACATATAAATTTTATACTTTATTATAGAGTATTCTATATACAGGATACAGACCAATATTCCTTGTCAAAAAATAAGCATTTTTTTAGGGAATCTTTCCGGAATTGCATTGTTTTCGAAATATCTCATTTTTTAATATATTATTAATATATTATTCATATATATTTTTAAATATATTTTTTAATATAATATTTTTTACTAGTATACAATATATTTGGTTGTTGATTTTTCATATAAACAATTTTTACAGTGTACAAAATGACTTGCAAACGAAATATTTTCAGAAAAAAAAGATGCTAATTTTTTACAAGGAATACGTTAATATCATCTGTAACTTAATTATATATGACACCCTGTGTAATAAAAGAAATAAATGCATAAGAATGAGGAACAATGAAGCGTATTGTTTAATGCTTTTTTTAATTAAAATACTTGCAATATATACACTCAGTACATACACTTTAGGACGCAGATAATAAAACATCTTAAATCTGAACACGTTTCGCGAGATTTTGTCGACGCGCGTACAAAATTATGCGAAAAAGATTTAATAATTTGACAAAAATAACCAAACTTTGAACTCTATGGTATCAATATACAATAAGCAACTATTAGTAACTGGCCATCTCTCGAAACTTTTTTCCCTCACGTTATAAATTAGAAGGAAAAAGATTAAACGAAACATTTTGCTAATACTTTTCAAAATTTCATAATTATCTATCATATCGACACTTAATGTCGTATGAATTAAGCGTCTCACATATAAAATATGTATAAAAAAATTATCCTAAAATACTGAACTACACAAAATTATGTATGTTAATAACGCCGGAAGAGCTGTAACATTTATACGAATTCAAATAAATCAATATCGTGGCTATTTTTTTTCTCTAGAAATTTGTATTCAATTTTTCCTTCGTACTTTTGCATGATTCTTAATTGAATTTATTAATGACTGGCCTCTACAAATGATAAGTAAATTTTTCTGTCGATCTATAACGCGAAAGATTCTTATCTCTTCAGTATCTGAGAAAAGATATTTTAGATACACTAAAGTCGATTAGCTTGCTTTTACCTTCATGCAATTTTGACGATATTATACGATATCGTTAAGTACGAAATTGATTCGAAATGCAAACACAAGTATTTCAAGAAATGTACCTCAAAAATATTTAAAAATGATACATCTGGCTAGAAATACACAGGTATTTTGTCGCAGGGAAAATACAGCTACAGATATACCGAAAAAGTGTACCCAGCTCCAAAAAAGGAGGTACATTTCTTGCAATCTCAATATATCACTAGTCTCCTTACATTAGTCTCGTCTCTAAAAAAATTCGACGCGTTATACGATAGGAAGTTGCTTTAATTCCTCGTGAGCTTTGTCGATTCCTTGTTGCTGGTGACGTGCTCAAGATCGACCCCATCGTACTCCAGACCGCCAGTATTGTCGTAATACGCATAATCGTAGTCGTTCTTCTTGCCCGATTTCGGCCGCGCTGTCGTGCTACTGCTGCTGCTGGGTAATCTGGTCGTCGACGAAAATGGTCTCGCGGATCCACTGACGTAGGTGATGCCACGTGGCGTCGTTGTCGGTTGACCGGCTTTCTGAGCACTGGAGCTGAAGCTGTTCGGATTGTAAGTGGTAGCACTAGAAGGTCGCCTGCAACGATAAAAAAAAACATTGTAATTAATCTCTTCTTATATCAAAAGTATCCTCTAAATGAGAACAAAAATATTAGATAATTTTAATTTTTGCAATTTAATTTTGATCGGTAATTTTGGTTTGGTCGAAGAAATATCGTGATAAGGAGTGAATTTTCCCCAGGCTCTTCAAAACTTGCTCACAGTGTACTCCTTGCACTTTTGAAAAATTAAATTGCAAAAATTAAAATTATCTAATATTTTAATTTTTGCAATTTTTTTTGATGATGAAATCACGTATTCTAGGAAGATTGAAGATGAATTTGAACAATATCACAGCCTCCTCTTTTAAATGAATCGAAATCTACCTTGGTACCGGTGTAGTAGTTCTTGGTGACTCAGCGAGATGGTTGATGCTTGCGGGACTGAAGCCGATTCCGACAGAGGATCTCGCCAAATCGAAGCTACCTGTGCTGGTCTCGATGTAATACGACTTGCCGCCGCTTGCTCCGTCATAATTATTATACTGAGTCGCCTTTTTTGGCGTCTTCGTGCTGTCGTAATACTGCGTAGAAGGCTTGATTGCTTGGTTGGTACTTTTATCGTAGTACTGGCTGTTTTCGTTGGCCCGCAAAGCGGTTTGCGCGGCCGTATTATCCCCATTCGCGTACTTCTTCGTCGCTGGGCTATAAGTGGTAGGCGCGTAACTGTTGCTTGCAAAATTATTGGCAAAGTAAGACTTCGCGGTGGTCTGAGGAACATCTTGTCTGGTAGACGTAACTGATCTATATTGGCCATTGTTGTTGTAATGATTATCGTAAACAGTAGACGCGGATGTAGTAGATGGATAGGCAACGTTGCTGGTCCCTCGCTGGATGTTGTTATAGCTTCTCTGTTGATAATTGCTGTAATCGTTAGTCTGTTGGTAGTTGGTGCTCGGTTGAACAGTGGTAGTAGACTGCGGGAATTGATAGTTGGTTTGATAATTGGCCTTCGGGCTGTAGCTGCTCGGTCTCAGGGTAGTAACTTGGAAGGAACCGCTGACGGCGTTCTGCTGGTTGTAAGTGGGGTTGAAGGCGTTATAGACATTCGTGCTGTAGGCATTATGTGGGGGCGTCGTTCTTACAGTCGTACTGGGTGATGATTGGTAATTATTGTACGCGTCCTGATAGGTCGTGCTAGGTCGATACGTCGAGGACGACGGTACATTGTACCTCTGAGCGTTCTGATTTCGGTTGTAGTTCTCCTGCAGCGGTCGGACGGTGGTCGACGAGACTACATACGTCGTGGATCGTTGATTGTACGCGTTGCCGTTGTAATAATTGCCGTTGTAGCTGTGCTGACTGGGAGCTGGTGCCGCCGTAGTAGTAGTCGTCGACGAATAGCCATTGTACGGCTGCTTCCTGCTGACCTTCCTGACGCCACCAACCTTCTTCTTGGTGTCTTGATTCACATCCTCCTTGTACGACTTCTCGGACTCGTACTCGTCCTCGTTATTGTTTTTGTTGTAAAAATTGCCGCTACTGCTACCTCGCAGAATGTCGCGATTGTTGTTGTAGTTGGACGAGGACACTCGATTCAACGCGTTAGCGGAGGATCGGACCGCGTCACTGGTCTCGCTGCGTTGGAGGTGATCCTGGGGCTCGGCGTCGCTACGAATATTATCGTAGTGCACGGACTCGAGACCGGAACCGATTCTATACAAATCGAAGTTGTCGCTGGCATAATAGAGGGTCGCAGCCTCGCAATCCACGTCGTACCAGTCCGCACAGGTCTGGCTCTCCTGATCGAAGGCGGTATCGTTGGGACACAGGAATCTAAATGAAAGATTAATTAGATAATCGTTCATCTCTATAAACTCGATTATATTAAATCTTACAATTAATTTTAAATTTTTCATACATATATAAATCTAATATTTTTTTCTAAATATATATATTTATTATCTGACACGTCTATAAATATTTACTAAGTAGTTATAAAAGTTGAAGAGAATTTATTTATGTCACTTATAGAAAAGATTTTGCAACATGTAAGACTTACTTGTAGTCTTGAATGCTGCCAGCCACAGAGACGCAGACGTGAAAGACTTGGCAGTCGGTCTCAGGGTCCGCGTAATAGCTACCGACGATTTTGTTGCGACAGGAGAAGGAAGTTTCCGGCATATATTGCTGGGAGTATCTCGGCGGTGGTCGTTGGAGGCCTAGTACGCAACTCCATAATATTCCCACTGAAACAAAAAGCCGAAAGTGTGTCGCAAACATTTTTACATATCTAAAATATAAATATAGCATGCACGACACTCTGTCATTTAAAATAATATTTAACATTGTTCATCATTTCCTGCAAAAGAACAATTTTTCCTTCAAAATTTTATCGATCGAAAATTTGACAAGCACGAAATAATTGCATTTTTTAAATATACGAAAAGAAAAATCGGTGAAAAAATGGCAAAATTTTAATCCACCATGCTAAACATTTGCTTGTATCTAGAGATGAATTCTGAAAATTGAATAATAATTAAAAAAAGATTAAGGATTAAATAATTATCAATATAATAATTATCAATATGGGATGCATATTAAAATCGAATACATGATTGTGTTGATATGATTCTTCGAGTTTGTGATTTTTTCTGTATTAAAATCATTTTCATTTACGAAACCTGATTGTGAGTAAAGGAATTCTTCATTACGTTTCATATCGATCGAATCGTTGGATGTAAACGTTCGCAATCATTTAAAGACTCGAACGTGTTTTTATTGATAGTAAAATTTTAGAGCGATAGTTTATAGAACTCGACAGATGTCGATGCACCTTTCTACTTCGCGAATATTTGTATGCATTAAAGAGCATGAATACTTTGGCAGACACAACCACCTGTACGGAGATTGTCTCGGTCGAATACATTGTCGGTTTTTCATTAGAGAAAACACACTGCCGGTTTTCTATTACAACGTGTCTTAAATGAAATCGCTTAAACTATCGCTAGAACGTATAAAATGTCTTGAAGCAAATCAGACACTTAAGCGACTCTTAATTTCAGTCTATTGGCAAGTAACGAAACAAAATCGAAGAAGAATAAATATTTGTATTAAAAAGAAAATATTTCATTGTTACAAAATCTGTTCATTTCGCTTTTTAAAATTAAATAGCTGGGTCTATGGAGAAAAATTTCGCCATTAAAGAGATATCTAGAAAGAAATAGAGAGAGAAAAATTCTTCTTGCGAGGAAACCTCGCAAACTGGAAAATTCTGATTTTTAAAAAATTTCAAACAAAATTATTTTCACGACTTTATTAATGTTAAATGAAACTTGCTCTTAGGATAAAATTTGTGTATAAAACATTTTTCAATATCGCGAATAATTTTGGAGATATATCGAAAAAAGCCACTCTCTGCATATGAAGGAAGGTTTCATCCCTTAAATCGTTTTTGGTCGCAACTCAAAATTTCTAAATTCACCTATTTACAATATTTTACAGATTCTATTCTTTTATATATCTTATATAAAATTTCATTAAAATCCAAATTTTCCAGTTCGCGACGATTAGTTCTCTTGTGAGAAATGAAATTTTACGAAGATATCACGATACTTCACGCCCCATGAATAACATTCATTAACTTTCGCAGATATTTCCGGCACAAAATGACAAGTCTCGCCGATCCCTACGTCTATCCAATCCAGGGCGACAATTAAAATGGATCTCACCCCGCATTGAATCAAACGAAACCTACCCGAGATTAAGACGAGCTGCCGCCTCGTAGACTCCATCGTGCGTTCTCTTCACTCGGATTCGATTCACACTCGCGTTACCTGCGCGATTCGACTCGTGAACGCGACTGCAGCGTTTGCAGAGCCTTGGGCCTGAGAAGAGGAGACGCGCGAAGATGCTTTCTGGGAGGATGGGGCCAGGTAGGGTTACCAGGTAGGGGCCCTCGTCGTCTTCGCGGAGGAGAGAGAGAGAGAGAGAGAAAAAGCAGACCCCGCACATGGGGCCCTGTGTTCTATGGAACGTAACGTCTCTCTCGTTACGTCACCTCTCTGGTAACCGGGCTCGTTCGCCAAGCAGCCCCCGCGGCGACGATGGCACGTATTTTATGTATGTACGTGGGTATATGCGGCGCATACCTCGTGCAGGATGACTCCCGCGTATAACTTACACCGTTTTACTGTCACGATGATGTAGGGATAGGAGATCGGAGAAACCGCGAGATTATCATCTGCTAAAGAGATCCTGTCTCGTGCGATGCAAATGATACGTGGGCGACCGCTATTGTATCGCTCGGAAGACCATGCTCGACGAAAACTTTATATACGGCGCTTCTGGTAGGTTGCTGATTGCCTTAGACCGCGATAGAAGAGCGTTACGTGTTTCGCGCCATAATCAGCGTTTTAGTGTCAATTCGCATTTATAATGAGCTCTGATCATTGAGGAGGAAACAGGTCGTTAAAAGAGAAACCGAGCAATAATATATAAGCGATCGTGTTTACTCAATTATATCAAAGTCTTTTATTCGACAATAGGTTACGAAAATAAGAACAATAGAGATTATCTTTTTTATTTTAAATTAAGAGGACAAAGATAACCCCTAAAAGATAAACTCTGAATTAATGTATCTAGTTCAGCTAAAAAGAATAGATCTAATGAGATGAGTTTTATGCGACACGCGATGGAAGAAAGTCGCGTTTTGCATTGAATCATCCGTGGAAGAAGTGGCGATAGATTTCGCCGCTGCTTTGAATGGAAATAGAGATAAGAAGCTGAGAATGCCCCTTAACGACAATTATTGTAACAGTGAAATCTCAAAACGGTTATATCTTAAATGAAAAGAATACGTAATTGTTATTTTTTAAACGGTAGAGACATACATTTTCAATACGAATATGAAAATATGATCGTTCAGCCAGTTATACATGTGTGAATAAATATATATAAATTTAAGAATCTAAGATTTTTTAAAGAATTTAAGGGAAAATTAATTTTAAGAATTTTTAAGAATTTAAGAAGAAATTAATTTTAAAGAATTGCCTCAAGTTCTCGAAAAAAGATGAATTAAAATATAATTTTATATTTCCTCTCTTTAAATTTTTCAATATTAATTTGACATGAATCTTAAATTTTTCTGAAAAAATTTCTATAATTTAGATTATAATTAGAGAAAGAATTTACTCATAATTTATATAATAATATGTGCCCTGATATCTCTTCTTTGTATATTCATATATATGTATTTTACTTTCTATTATAATATATTTTATATTAAATATTTCTATTATTAACAAATTATTTTATTAATAATAGAAATATTTAATAGAAAGTATTATAAACTATTTATTATTATAAATTATTTTACTTTTCTACATTATATACATATAATACTTAAAAATTATAAATAGAATTCTATCTCTAAATTTGAACACTAATTGTATAAATCATCTAAAGTGGGCTTTATCCTTTTTATTTCATTGTGCATCATTTCCAAGCAAAAATGAGTAGCAAGACTTATTTAATTTTAGAATTTAAAATAAGCAACTACTCTTAAAATCTGTGTGTCTATCTTTATAAAAGATTTGATCACAATTTTTGACAAAAAAAGAGAATGTAAAATGCATTTATCTAAATAATTTAAAGTAGACTTTATCTTTTTTACTTTATTACATTATTTCGGAGCAGAGGCAAAACTTATTTAATTTTGGAATTTAAAATAAGTAATTAATCTTTAAATCTGTGTGTCTACATTTTTAAGAGACTACTACTTTTTTATCACAAATCTTGGCAAAAAAATAAAGAGAACATAAAGTGTATTTTGCCTCTCTCCTCCTAAATCCACAGAAACGCTTCTCGTCGCTAGCGCAAGTTCGGCGTGACCGGTCGTCTGATGGCCTTTGCCAGCCGCGACTCGTTGCACTCGTCGCAGGGTGCATCCAAGGAGTGCTCGCCTGCATTCCAGCTTCAGAGGAGCGCGACGGACGGGGAGAGACTCCGTGTCGTTAGAAGGTTCGGATCGCCGCGTCCGCGAGGTCGTTCCATCACCCATCTAAAGTCTAACGTTCTAACGAGTCTAACATTAAATACTTGAAATAGCTGGAAATGGTGAAATTCGTCGCGGATAATTGCACCTGGAAAGAGTTGCACGGGCGGGGTCGAATTGTTGACATTTTATTCATCATAACGATTATTCTTTCTCGGAACCCCACGCAAAACTTTCTCGCGAGTTTCTCCAATATTAGCTACATGACGTCGGATAATCGGCAAGGGACCAACGACTCATACCTGTTAGAAATCGTTCGCGATCGGGGAGGTGGTTTCGTTACAGGTGGAATTGCGACGATCGATCCTTGACGAGATAAGATCGTTTCCGCGGATCGAGATCGAAGCGGCGCGAAACACGCCAAGACGTTCGTCCGCGAGTAAAGGAGAGTCACGTGGCTCGATTCACTTGCCGCCGTCGCACGAAGATCGAGGTCGTACCTCGACAATCGAAATTTCGCAATTCAGCCTGCCTTGCATCCTGTGCCGTGCCGCCGATGCAATGCCTTAAAGAGAGAAAAAGAAGCGAAAGACCTCTGCGACACGGCTCTAGAGTCGAGGCAAAATCGTCGTTGCATTTGCGACTCGTGAAGTGAAACATGGGACTAGCTTGCTGCACTCTTGCATTTTGCGATAGATATCTGACCTGTTTTTTAAATAAAAAAAAAACATAAAAGAAAGCCTGGAATTTTCAGGGATTTTTTTACACCTGGGAATATCAGGCAATTTTCATGGAATTTTATTGAGATATTTTGAAAAATTCTCTCTTTGATAATTTTGCTCTTATAATATCTGTAAATTGGCGAGCCAATTAAATATTTATGTTACGTTTAAAAATATAACATATTATAAATATATATCTATGTTTCTATTAAAGAAAATCTTTTTTAGAAAATTTCAATACACTACTTTGCTTCTCTTCCTTCAATAAATAATGAATTTAACGCAATATATTAACAACTTTGATTTAATTTTTGTTATATTTCAATTTTCTTAATCTAATATTTCGTTACTTTTGTGAATCACTAATATTTCGTCATAATTTACACATTCATAAGCAAAATAATGTAAATAAATTAATGATAATAATTGATATTATAATAAAATAATATTAAATAATTAATTAATATTATAATAATTTAAATAAATAATTAATATTATAATTAAAATAAAATAAATAAATAATTTGATGATTTTCAGTAGAGTGTAAATCAGATAAATTGATTTTAAAATTCATTTTCTTGAATCGAGAACAATAAGATACATGAATCAAATCCTAATTTGTTTTCCGAAAATTGATCTTCTAATTCGAGCTCGTTTAACCCCTTCTCTCATCAGCATATGCGATATCCATTAGCGATTAGAGACTCGTTTCGCCACCGACGTACGTGCCCCGTAAAGAGGTAATTAACGAGACGGGCATTATATTTTTCAACGGCCGTTCGTCTCTCCATTACTTGCGCCGCGATGAGCTTTGCGCCTCGAGGAATCTTCTCAGCCTTGGAGGGCGAAAGTTGTCTTCGATTCGCTCGTAGATGGAACGATATTTACACCTACAGAGGTGATCCTCGTGATTGTCTTCGTAGTTCTAAAGTAATCTCAGTCGTTTTCTGCTAAAATCGTCAGCGGTATATTTTGCACACACGATAAAGCGGTTTGAATGATGATAGGGAGAGGAGGAGTATCACAAGATGATATGATAGTATAATGATGGTGACACGGACGGATACTTATCTCCGATTACAGTCTATCCTCGTGCGAATCATCTCTTAATTAATTTCACATTATATGTCATACACGTTTCAAGCGACTCTGTGAGAACCTAAAGCGGCTTTCAAAGATTGGTAATTTAGAGTTCCAGCAAAAGTTTGATGATGCGAGATGTTTAGTGAATTTAAAATATCAAGATAATATTGTGACTTTCAAATTAAAGAAAAATATTAAATTTTTTCTCGTCGGGAATATAATCTTTTTATAAATACATATGTATGGGGGAAATCTTTAGATTTTGAATCTTTGTGAATTTTTCTTTTTATATAGATAGGATTAAACCATCAAAACACCTTGACTTAATTTTGTTTCCGGATTCTAACTAAAAATTCAATATTTAAAATTTTATATCCATAGATATATTTATTAGAAATTTTGTTTTATCCAACTGTAGCATGTTATTTTGACAATATATACATGTATCTCTTTCTCTCTCTTAAAAAACTTTATATTTATTATTATTTAATTATTTATTATTTAATTTATTGAAAAATTATAGAAATACGATAGAAATATAGAAAAAAGATTAAAATAAATAATTAAATTATACAAATTGATTAAATTTAAAATTGAATTTTTTAATGTAAAAAATATTTGTGCGAAATATTTACATAAATGACAAATATGTACAAATCAAATGATTTTTATTTATTTTATTATATTTTTTGAGTTATCTTCAAAAATTTATTTCAATGTAAAATGTAAAATTATGCCGAGAAAATACAGAACACGTCAATTTACGAAATAGTCTAATTTTGCTGAGTGCACTATGTGTATGAGAAGCAATGATGAATTTAGAAATCTACAAGCATATAGAACATACAAGACAGTGTTACCGCTATTTAGATTATATAATATTCACCGAAGAAAGTCTCGAACGAAAACTTTCGAACTTTGAGAGTACAAGCTAATTTAGCATATAAACGAGGATGAATTATGAATTCTTAATGAATAAACTAATTAAGCGGATCCAATTCGTGTCAAAGTGCAACTTGATTGGTCGGAAATGTCGGATTTATACCATCTTTCCCATATCTTTTATTTACTCTCTCACAAATTCCGGATTGTATTCGAGCAGATACTCAAACATT